GGTTGTGGCTGACCCTGGTTCCTGACTACCAGCCGGGGTCATGTTGCCCTCTGCCAACTCATTCTTGATGAACTGCACATCTCTGGACAGGTCCTTTACCACCACAAGTACTTCAGCGAGCATTGAAGTAATCTTCTGGATGGCAATGTCTTAAGAAAAATATAATTGAAAAGTGTAAAGTGAGAATTGAAAATAACCTGTAAATGACTCATGAGGAATTACGCTAAGTCTAATAGACTTGCCTTTCAAAAGCAGCCTGGTGTCATCGCCGTGCATCTGTGTGGTTCCATCTGTAAAACGCAAACATTTGAGACTTAATCACTGCACACATTTTGAAAGGTTATTAGGTGTGTGTGTGTGTGAATATATTGTGATCAAGTGTTTAGTCAGTAACAGGGGTCTCCCCTTCCCTACAGCTCTTTGGTAAACAGAAAAGGCATTTTCAGTATCCTATCAGGAGAGAGAACTCATACAGATTAATTGAATACACAGGACCACAATGGAAACAAGCCCTCAGGGCTTTTTGTTATCCTTGGCTTTTAGCATTATTGTATAACTGTGCCCCTGTACTTTTTTCAAACTGTTGATAAAGTATTCAATCAAAGAGGGCAGATGAACAAAGAAGAGAGCAATGATCATCATCAGAATATAGAGATTTAACCTTTTCACACACACAGATCAGAAAATGTCTACAAATGTTAGATGACCGTCTTGTTCACTTACCATTGCAACCATGATCAGGCACTGACTGCATGGGATCAAACTTGTGGCAGTTTCCTCTAAAGAAGTCTAGAGGAGGGAAAAACAAATGCTGTAACATTTACACAAAAAACACGACTAATGTGATTTGATTTGTCTACAAAGATATTACTTTACATTTTAGTAGTAAATTGGGTTCATTAGTGAGGAATACAATGGCATACTATTTTGTGCACGTTGTGGGGGTCCAAGGGGGGTGTACTGCACCGAGCCGTATCCCATTCCCGATATCCCTGTAGAAAGAAAATCATTAGTTATATTTCACTATACTTTGGGAGTAGCAACATAACCTGATGTTCCAGCATATTGTTGTCAACTACCACAGGCTGTCTGAACACAAAATCTGAATTGTAAGTCATACATATGTCAAATAGTATTCATTGAGAGTAGGGCATCATACCAGTACTTGTACTTGCTCGCTGTGGGGCCTGGAGCTGGCGGTAATGGGCAGCACCAAATCCTGACATCCCAGCTGAAACACACAGTAGGAAATAAAGTTATTAGCATATGACACTATTGTAACCTCCCATGTAAGGAAATGTGTCTATGTGTGTGTAAGTCTGTGTGTGTCTGTGTATCTGTGTGTGTGTGTGTGTGTGTGTGTATGTATCTATGTGTGTCTATGTGTGTGTGTGTCTGTGTATCTGTGTGTGTGTGTCTATGTGTGTGTCTATGTGTGTATGTGTATCTATGTGTGTCTATGTATGTGTGTGTATCTGTGTGTGTATCTATGTGTGTGTGTATCTATGTATGTGTGTGTGTACATGTGTATGTCTATGTATGTGTGTGTCTGTGTGTATGTGTGTGTCTGTCTGTGTGTGTCTGTCTGTCTATGTGTGTGTGTATGTGTGTGTGTGTGTGTCTGTCTATATGTGTCTATGTATGTGTGTGCCTGTATGTGTATCTGTGTGTGCATGTGTGTGTCTGTCTATGTGTGTCTGTTTGTATGTGTATCTGTTCATGTGTGTGTGTGTGTGTGTGTGTGTGTGTGTGTCTATGTATGTGTGTGTCTGTGTGTATGTGTGTCTGTCTATGTGTGTGTTTGTGTGTGCGTGTGTCTGTCTATGTGTCTATGTATGTGTGTGTGTGCATGCATGTGTGTGTCTGTATATGTGTGTGTCTGTTTGTATGTATGCGTGTCTGTTTGTATGTGTGTCTGTTCATGTGTGTGTGTGTCTATGTGTCTATGTATGTGTGTGTCTGTGTATGTGTCTATGTGTGTGTGTCTCTATGTATGTGCCTGTATGTGTATCTGTGTGTGTGCATGGGTGTGCATGTGTGTCTATGTATGTGTGTGCATGTGTGTCTATGTATGTGTGTGTGTCTATGTATGTGTGTCTATGTATGTGTCTATGTGTATCTATGTGTGTGTATATGTGTGTCTATACATGTGTGTGTGCGTGTGTCTATGTATGTGTGTGTCTATGTATGTGTATGTGTGCCTGTCTGTGTGTATGTGTGTCTATGTATGTGTGTGTGTCTATCTATATATGTCTGTTTGTGTGTCTGTTTGTATGTGTGTCTGTTCATGTGTGTGTGTATGTATGTGCCTGTATGTGTATCTGTGTGTGTACATGGGTGTGCATGTGTGTCTGTCTATGTATGTGTGTATCTGTGTGTTTGTGTATCTATGTGTGTGTGTCTATGTATGTATGTGTGTGTGTCTATGTATGCGTGTGTGCGTGTGTCTGTCTGTGTGTGTGTGTCTGTCTGTGTGTGTCTGTCTATGTGTGTGTGTATGTGTGTGTGTGTCTGTCTATATGTGTCTATGTATGTGTGTGCCTGTATGTGTATCTGTGTGTGCATGTGTGTGTCTGTCTATGTGTGTCTGTTTGTATGTGTATCTGTTCATGTGTGTGTGTGTGTGTGTCTATGTGTGTCTGTGTGTATGTGTGTCTGTCTATGTGTGTGTGTATGTGTGTGCGTGTGTCTGTCTATGTGTGTGTATGTGTGTGTGTGTGTGTGTCTGTCTATGTGTCTATGTATGTGTGTGTGTGCATGTGTGTGTCTGTATATGTGTGTGTCTGTTTGTATGTATGCCTGTCTGTTTGTATGTGTGTCTGTTTATGTGTGTGTGTCTATGTATGTGTGTGTATGTGTGTGTGTGTCTATGTATGTGTGTGCGTGTGTCTATTAGGGCTGTGCATCTTCACTGGTATCACGATTCGATTACGATTATCCTGTCAACGATTCGATTCAATTCGATATCCCGATTCATACCAATGCGTTGCATCCTCAATTTTCTATATTACTGCGTATGGCTTATTTTTCATCAATGCATACATGCAGTAAATACATATGAACTGTCTTTTTATTATTTAGAAAGTGCTTCAGAAATCAATAACATAAATGTCTTGACATTCATTTATAAACCAAAATAAATGAATTGTATAGGTCTAGCCTCCCTATATCTGTGTGTGAAGTTGTTCCATCCTCAAAAACAAAAAAATAATGCTTCTGCAGTCTAGCTGCAGCTTCTAGCAACGGTCTTCTGTTCAAAAAAGGACACTGAATGTCCTGAATGTGGCATCACACACATGACTTGAGTCTGAACACAGCAGACAACAGGAGTATTTACAATAGCATATCAGTGATTCCCACAGCATGTTAATACTTTGGGAGGCCCCCAAAGTATAATGGCTCCCCCCAAAGTATAATTTGTGTGTTTTTTGTTTACTCAGTGAGCACTCATTTGCATTTGCATTGGTGGCAATGAGTGCTCAGTGAGTAAAAAAAACTTTAAAAACCATAAATTATACTTTGGGGGGAGCCACTCATAAATTATACTTTGGGGAGAGCCATTATACTGGTAAACAGCCTCTATGGGCGCGAGTCCAGACCCACTTTTGGAATCAAATGATGACGTCAGTGGGATTATCTCCTTTATCAACTCCTAAGCATCCCCGGGACAACATCACTAGCCCCGCCCCTAAAAAGGTGTGAATTTGAGCCAATCAAGGACTACTACTAGGTCGTCCTTAGACGAGTTTGCCAACGGGTTCGCCAATCCTCACGGTCCTCCATACACCCGGCCAGCTCTGTGGAGCTTTCCACCCCCACATCCTTCCTCAGCACCTTCACGTATGTTGGCGTGGGGCGCCCTCTTGGTCGGTGCCCGTGTGTTGGCTCCCAGAGTACTAACTTGCCAGCTGGAAGTTCCTGGTGTCGATGGCAGTGACCTGCAAATTTCAGTTTCCTGGATGCCACCTTGTCACTCAGCCTGGGTAGCCCACCAGGACTAGCCCCGCTCCTACATTTTTGAGAGATTTTTCATATTTTTGGAGAGAAATAAAGGTGGGTGCAACTTACAAAATAGCCATAAAGCTAGTTAGCATAAAAAAACGCTAATTAGCATCTGCTAGCTAGTTACAAACGTTAATTAGCATCTGCTAGCTACTTAACATTAAAAACGCTATTTAGCATCTGTTAGCTAGTTAACATTAAAAACGCTAATTAGCATCTGCTAGCTAGTTAACATTAAAAAAACGCTAATAAGCATATGCTAGCTAGTTAAAATGTGTTGTCCCTGGGTCATCATAGATGTTGTTCCCATGAATTGAAAAAATACTGGCAAACTGCATAGGTAACTAATTGTACGTTAACATTATATGTATTCACTCAGCAGGCATGGATAGTTTTGTTACCAAGACCAAGAGAGTTCGGCTTGAGGTTGTGCACCAGTTTGTATATAGTTAAAATAAAGTTATCCGGTGATTGACGATCAGATACCAGTGTGGAGTTTTCTGTCTTAAATTTGATATAGATCATGTTCTTTGTTGGTTTGTGAGGATGTTCATACACACTTGGTAAGATGTGTGTGTGAAAGAAGACCACAAAAAACAGCAGTGACTGCTCTCAGCTGTTTAACACTTAAAGACCTAGACACCATCACCAGTTGTAGGTTGTCTGAAGTGCAGTGTTACTATGAAAATTCACTAGAATGCAGGAATTGAGAAAAAAAATCTCAACATTTTTCACGGGGGGCCACGCACGTACGGACGAAATGACACACGAAAGGTTTGGGGGACCTGCAGGTCTTAGATGCTGTCTGGTGCATTCTCTAGAATTATAAGATGAACCACCACAATATTATATTGTTCAATTTTATTCTTAATTTCACTTCTTCTTGTTTGTGTTTGCTGATTCAACGACTAATAGTCTTTCAAGAAAGTGTCAATGTCTGACTCGTCTATGTCTGACTCATCTGAGTCGTCAAGAGCTTCATCCAAGCGCTTCTCGCCAGCAGCCACATTCTCTGCCTCAAGTCCGAGCTCGTCAGATATGGCCTCCTGGCGCACATTCTCCTCCTGCTCGGCTTCCTGATCCATAAGAACCAGGTCTTCATAGAGGTCGTCCCGTATCTCCTGCTCCTGCTCCTTCTGCCACGGGTTGAAGCCAGGGCGACGAGCCCTATTTCCTGAGGTCCACCACTTCTCCACGGCTCCGGCAGCATCAAAGTTGTCCATTGAGGGGCCCTCAATGGAGGAAAACATCAGGCGGCTGAGCTGCTCAATACCCAGATAGGAACGCCAGTCGTTCTTCACCCTCTTCATGCAGCTGAACCCCCGCTCACACACTGCAGTGTTGACTGCCAGAACAAGGTATATTTCAAACAGTATTGACAGCCCCTTATACTGTTTGCATCTCTCAGTGTCACACAGGATGCCAGAGAAGATCTGTGGCATTCAAGTGAAGTGTGCGGGCTGCTGCATAACTCTTGTAGAGGATGAACTCAGACTTCAGCATTTTAGTTGTAACACTGTGCTCGTCCATCAGGGGCTGATAATGCTCACAGATATCAGCAAAGTCTTGTTTGCCATAGGCAGCCAGCTGTCTGTCAGAGGGCCACTGACTGGGGTTGAAGATGGAACATTTTGAAGGGACACTCCCTTTCTGGAGATCTTGGAATCTTTTCTCCAGGTGCTTGATGAGCACATCTGCAAACACATACACAATGTCAAATTATAATCCCTGTCTCTGGACCACCATCAAAAATCATTTATATCATAACAAATGTGAAATTATATTCCTGTCTTTGGACCACCATAAAAAAATTATCTATTAAAACATGTTATGCCCATATTTACTTATGAAGAAAATATTTACTTTTGAAGAAAAAATATTGAATATTTACTTTGAAGAAAATATTATTGGGCACATACCTATGACTTTCTTCCGGAGAAAGAGAATCTGCCCTTCGTTGACATACTTGAGTTTAGTCCCTCGGAAGAGGCCGGTTTTTGAGACTGCATCAATGACCTCCTGCATCCCCTCAGTTGGTTGGAACTGCAGGTCCACTAACTTCAGTGAGCATGTCTCCAGGGCTTCCACAGCATCACATACAGTCAGGCTGTCCTTCTGGAAGTTCAGTGACAACTCAGAGAGGGCTTCAAAAGTGTCACGCATGAAATAACTGAAAAGTACATTGTCATAGTCCATGAGGAAGGTGAGGATCCTGTACGCCCTTCCTCGCACCTTTGGGCTTGGCTTCGGTCTTCTCTCAGTGCTTATGAGATCCTGGAAGTAGGTCACGAATACCGCGTAGCTTTCGCACACAATCTGCAATAAAGATAGCAATTTTATATTTTCTATCCTGATGAGATTTAATTATCTATTAAATATTTGTTTAGACCTACCTTGTTGGCTTTGTGTATGTATGGGAGAAATCTCGCCCCAGCAAGGTTGGTTGGCTTCAGCACTTTCTCCTCCAAGGCCTCCGCTACCAAACGCAGCTCATGTAAGGCTTTTGGGCTGAACTTATAGTGCTTGTAAAGCCACTTAAGGTTCTGATGAAGTGCCTTGAGCTTGTCAAGCTCCTTGAGGCTGTCAACGAGCCCCCTCTCAGCACGGTGGGCCACACAGTGAAGGGCAATGAGATATGCGATATCTCGTTTGAGGAGGGCCTGGACACCATTGTCTTTCCCGAAGTTAACAGAAGCCCCATCTGCCCCGAACCCCACCAACCTCTTCTTCCAGTCGTCCACTCTACCCCGTGCAAATGCTGATTTAATTTAAAATAGCACATTTATGTCTGCATATAAGCCTTTAGCATTGGCTCGCTTGACGTGTTCAATGCTAAAAAACACATTTTTTGGCCTCTTGGTGGAGTCTAGGTACCGTACGTACACGATTTCTTGTTCCAGGATCGCCTTGTCCGTTGCCCCATCTATCATGACTGAGAAGAATCGGGCACTCTTCACCTCAGCCAGAATAGGGTCATAAATGAACTGGTAGATGTCCACAAAAAATCTAAAAGTAAAAATATCAATTAATTTAATACATTTGCATGTGGCAGTTGTAACATGTTAAGGTGAAATAAATGCAAGAAGTACCGGTACCAGTAATTCTAAAAATTAGTTGTGAAGAAAAGATATTTACTTTTGAAGAAAATATTTACCGTGCGCAGGCTTTGTCGTGGTGGTAACACAGGGGCATCTTGGCACCGGTCCTCCTGTTCAGGTCCACCAAGACAGGAAAATCTGTAAAGGGCCTCTCACTCTTGACCACAAAGTAGGCCACATGGATAAGGTTGCTCATGCCAGCACGAAGTTCATCCTGCATCTTAGAGAGGCCACGCAGTATAGGGGCCACCACAGAATTCTCACGATCAATCTTTGCTTGGGAAGCTGCAGCACACAGCTCATGCTTCTTGCTTGGATCATGACAATCCAGTAATGTTTTGCGGAACGTACTGTTGCCCTTGTACAGACTGCATGTCCTGAAATTAGGGAAACATTTAAATAAGCAATGTGATTTTTTGGGGTTTGGGGCAACATTTTTTCTAAGTCGAGACATGGACAAAAATTGGCCAGAACTCCCCCTGTACATAGTGGAATTTGGGGCCAGAATATAGAATTTTTTCTAAGTCAAGTACATATACAAAATTGCATAATTATATAATAATAAGTTCATACATACTTATCACTGATGGAAGGGAAATGTCTGCAAGGCTCACAGAACATTTCATTCTTCTCTTTGTCAAATCTCAGACATGGAAACTGTTCCAGCCAAGCTGGGATGAATGCCCTTGCCCTCTCCTTCCCCTCATAGTCTCTGGCCTTCTGAATTCTCTCTTCTTCTGACTGGGATTCTCTTTTTGATTCTCTTTTTTGGGGGGGGGGGGGGGGGGGGGGCTGCAGCTCAGTCTTTCTCTTCTTCTTTCCAGGTTGTTCACCTTGCTTTGGTGGACTAAGAAACATTGTAATACATTATTTGATCATTATGTATTCAGCATCAGAATCCGTAACAAACTGAAATTCCCGCGAAAATGTGGTTGCATTCGATTCATTGTCCGGGTAGTATTCAGTTGCGCCACTTATGTGACAGACAAGAATAGTCAATTCTAATGTCTAACACTTAATGTGGAGAAAGAGATGTCCTGGATGGGTTGATTGTGCGTTGATCTGTTGGTAATGCCTCGGGGTTCCGGTGGGCATGTAAACAAATGCATAATGCTGCGCTATACTTTGTGGCCTCACCCAGTTGCATAGCGACACTCATTGTTTAGGTGTCTTTTAATAAGCAGGTAGTGTTAGAAATTAAAATCAATGTTGGTATGGCGTAATTTGATTTAAATACACTATTTAATTTAAATCAGTTTTATTCTGAAAAACCGGAAGTTCACTAACTATTAACTTAATACTTTTATTCTGAAAATTATTCATTTCCGGTTAGCATTAGCATGTGGCGAAATGCTGCATTTTCAGACCGTGAATCAAAGGTGAAATGACATGTGATGTTGTACACCGAGCACACTGGGTTTAGCACTCGTTTATTACCGCTGAATAACGTTTATTAGGACATGTTTAAATAACCACAGACACCAGAATGATATAATTTAACAACAGAAAAAGGCAGAAATTGCATTGGACCCGCCCCCCGACGACGCCGGCCAATAGGAGAAGACCTCCGATGACAACAGGAAGAGCAAGCCAAGGATTGACCTCTTGCTACCGGGTGACCTGGACTGACCGGGCGGATGAGGAGAGCGCCTCCACTCGCACATTTCATTTTGTACTGTACATCACCGCATCTTTTGTGTAATTAAATGCTGTTAACTTTTATAAGCTTCCCTTGACTCTTTTCAGTCTCTCCTGCCTTCGGGGTTATAGAATACACTAACAGTAGTCATATCATTAGCTAGAACTAGCTGGATCTGATCGATATGGACATAAACGTGAGTGAAGTCTAATCTGACGGGAGAGAGAGATCAGCTGCTGCTGACGAGTCGACACGCAGCTCTGCATGATCACATGCAGCGGTGAGCGGAACAAAACACACACTTCAGGTTAGAATATCACACGTAGCTATTTTAATTACCTCTCAAACTACCTAAACTAGTTATAGTAGATGTGTTTTAGTTTTACTGTCGGGTCAGTCATTACTGGATCCGCGAGCTGCATGATACTGACATAATAGATTGCCCGATCGGGCAACCAGCAGGTGAGGCTTCATTGCCCGAGCTAAATGCTAGATGGCCCCGGGCCATCGGGCCATCCTTAATGTCGAGCCCTGAACGGAGAGGAGACGGTGATCGCGGAAGCTTTTTTCCTCCTGCCTTCACAAACTTTACACACGTATATATATATATATATATATATATATATATATATATATATATATATATATATATATCGTCTGAAAATTGCTAGAGGACATTCATACTTTGCAATCCAAGACTTAATTAAATGCACCAAAAACCTGACATGATTGTAACGCGATTATTTTTGAAAAACATAAATCCCTGTGCCGCAGCGACACGGAGTGATTCAGAGCGGGTCCTTCTGCTGTTGGTTCTGGACTGGTGTTCTTGTGTTGATGGATAAAGCAGACTGCTCCGTGTTTGGTGATGCTGTGCCGCTGTCACGTCTGTTCCCTGATCTCTGCGTCACCGACCGATTTGATATTAAAGTGACAGAAAAAAAAACGTTATAGTAAAGCCGCGGCCGGAAAATCAGGAAGCAACGTTACTACGCTATAACCGATTATCTTCCGTCACTGCATCGAGACCGAATCGTCCACATCGCAATGCATCGTAGAAACGATTATTTTCAACACCCCTAGTGTCTATGTATGTGTGTGTATGTGCCGGTCTGTGTGTGTATGTGCCGGTCTGTGTGTGTGTGTGTCTGTGTGTCTGTTTGTATGTGTGTCTGTTCATGTGTGTGTGTTAGGGGTGTAACGGTACACGTACCGAAATTATTCGGTACGGGCCCTTCGGTTCGGTACACGTGTGTACCGAAGTGTACCGAACGAATATAACGTTAAACGTAAAAAAATTGAGAACGTGAACAACTTGTTGGAAGTAATCTCAGGTGCTGCGTCGCAGCATTCAGAGTAATTTGCTCCCATTGTGTTCAACTCGTCATAGAGCGAGCAAGTCATTTCATTGGACGAGAGGCATACTATGAGAGCTGGTCAGAGGGATGCGTTCAAATGTAGTCAGTAATTTGAGGAACTGTCGAAATGGCGAACGCAGATAAAGTTGAGCTCGAAAATTCTCCAGCATCATTGAAGTCTCCGGTTTAGGAACATTTTGGTTTCGCAGTTACGTACTAGGGTTGCCAGAAACTGACCATGATCAAAATCGATTATTCGGCAGCCCTGGCGAATAATAATCGATTAATCGACCGATTAATTATTACAATAGTTATTATGCTGACTTTCATGCCACAGCCTCAGAAACCTGGAGTCATCCTAATGCAGAAATCCAGGCAGGGAGGAGAGCAGCACGTCGGCTATGGACGTCACCTTGATCCTTGAGTGCGAAAACATATCTTTGTTTTACTTTGGATGCTTAACAGCATAGCCACACAACAATTTATATCACAAGGGCTCTTCCATGACTGATGAGATTACCATTTTGAAGCAATTGAGGCGTCTGCGATCCCACCTGTATCTCATTAGCACAACAACAAGGTGCAATAACATTAACACTGCTGTTCCCTCCCCAAACACAAGTATCTTAATAATAAATCTAAATCTATCAGGCTGACCCTCTGCCCCCCAACACACACACAGAAAATCCACTCTAGTATGATAATAAAACACCAAGAGGCTTAACCGACTCACCTGGAGGTCATAGGCGGTGAATAGCTGAACTTCAGACACTTCGCCTTTGGTGTGCCGCCTTCTTCCTGAAGAAGCTCAATAGCATGCAGATCCAACTCCGCGTAAAAGTGGTTCTTCAGGTTGAGGTTCGTTATCCTGTGAAACTCTGCACAAATATAAAATGACTATTTAATTCAGAGTACAATGTATGTGGACTGAAGGCAGCAGAGATAAACAGAAACATGACATGCTAAATCTGAGTAAACATGCCAAAGTTATCAGTGACAAAGGCACACAAAATTATTATATAGTTGTAATATCTAAAATATTTTCACCTGTAACTCCATTGTCAAGGCAGGTCAGCGTTCCAGGGTCTCTCCAACAGGTTGATCATTGATGATCTCATTGCGCCGCAGGGCAAAGGTAGTCTGCATTAACTTTGCAATCGAGGGATGGTTTTTATCTCTCATCTTAACACACACTAGCACCCCCCCCCCCCCAAACGCGGCGCACCTACAATGTAAGCGCACCAGTTTCGCTGCTGCGTGGCTCCACTAGCGCGTTAGTTTCTCCACTGCAAGGCTTACCAGGTTGAAGAAGCCCTTTATCTGCCAGTTGCTTCAGTTTCAGCCTAAAGAGAAAAAACATTGAAGGTTAGCTGGGTTGCAAAGTTTTCACAAAATGATCAGAGAAACACTATTTTCGAGCATAAAATGGCGGCAGGCGGCGCGCTTTCTTCTTTTGTTACCGCATGGATGTATGGGCAGGTTTTATTAACTTTTAGAGGCAGAGGATTTACGTTGGAGTAAGTAAGTCGGAATAGATATATTTTGATAAAAGACAAAACAAAAAACAACAACATTAGAGTCCGAGACCTAGCCCATTCGATTCAACGTCCTTTTCTGAGTCTGAAAAAGTGTTTTTTAATAAAAAAATTAATTAAAAAAAAGCTAAATCTGCAACTATTTCAAAAATCTGTAACTTCTTATTGAAAAGTTGTAGACCATTGATGTCACCTACCATTCGACTCAGCGTCATCCAATTAGTGGGGGGGAGGCATACAAAAAAAAGGAAAAAAAAGATTCTGCTAAGTCCCTAGCTCAATGAATGTTAGGGACCCAAAATAGTGTCACTACAAAGTACTACCAATCGAATCCAAATGGCCTGAAACGTGCTCCTAATTGTTTGTTTGGTGGTCAATTTTGGCCTCAACACTTAGTGAATGTTTCGGATTTATGTGTGATATTCCCCCCACACCCCCCACCCCCACACACAGACTACACAGTACCCCCCTCCCTCCCCCATCAAGAAACAAATAAAATAAAAGGCAAACAGCATAGATTCAACATTGATTCAATGTTGGCATTTCAATCATTAAATTCGACCACAATACAACGTTGATTCAATATTTTCAACATTTAAGGTTGATCCACCATCAATCTTCAACCTTAACCAAAAATCAACATTTTTGACCATAATTCAACGTTGATTTAACATATTTTGCTATCTGGGGACTGGCTATCGCCGCAACTTGTTCAGCCTGCGTGTGGTTGACTTGTGGAATGATCTGCCAGAAAGGGTTGTCACATCCAAGACGGTTAACTGTCTCAAATCCCGCCTCAACCACTACTGGTCAAACATCACCTTCACTTTGGACTATGTGACTGTTGCCAGCATCCATAGTAAATCAATAATCAGTGATCTACTAATTTATTTATGAGCGACTAAAAGGCCTTAGGCAGGGGCGGCGGGTGAAGGCTAAGCCTTCCCAAATATTTGTGTAACTGCATCCTGGTAAAATAAAAATATAATGTCTTTGACATTAGCGCTGCTATGCAGCCACCTGTGCCCTGTACCACGAAGCCAGTTCAACAGACCCTGGATATGCTTGAGTTATCTTAACTAACCCTAACAAACGCGATCTCGCTAAACGGTCCTACGGCGCTGGTTATCAACTCGGTAAATAAAGTCAGGGTTTCTCTCTCCAGCTGAGAACGCGTTCACGTGAAAGGGGCGGGGTTAGCTACATTTGACCAATCACAAACAGGGACAAGTGTACTGACAGCGCAACATCATACTTCATTAATGAAAAGTAAACTAATATTAGACAAATATGAACTTTAAACATCCATGATGACTTAAACATATAATCCAGGATACAAGCCACATAGTTGCACCTGCAAGGAGAATACAGAACAATTCGTTAAAAAATAAACTACCGAGTGTTTGAAAGCGTACAACAGTTTTATGATACTGCCCCATCTAAAACACGAGGGGATCTGACTTTATTACATTTGAGTTTAGTGTTTCGTCAACTTAATGTGTTGCTTAAAATAATAGGTCTGCATCCAGTATATGTGACAATGTAACTAAGTGTTGCACGGCCAGATACGGCTCGAGAAGCTGACTCAGATAAGGAAATATTGTGATATCGATGTGAGATCGATGATCTGATTGATGATGTGATGTCAGTGTGATATGAATGATAAGTGCGACACGTCGGCGTCTTCTCTGCATACGGCAGTTTAAACTGCATGTCCTTTTTCCTGTAATATGACTTAATAGATTTAAACTCCGCACACTGAGCTCTGATCGGTCAGCAGGTGGTGCTTTCACGGAGTTAATCTATTTTCTATAGACGCCGGAGGCGGGCAGCGTAAGATGAAAAAACAAGTTATTTAGCCTTCCCAAACCTGAGCCTCACGCGCCGCCTATGGCCTTAGGCCTATTACAGCCGTATCCTATTGATTGATTGATTTATTGAGATAAAGCGATAAGGCGTGAGATACCCTGAAGATACCCTGACCAAAGATAACCTTCCCTGCCACCCTTTAAACGAAGCAGAATTTACAGCTGAATAAATACAGTAACTGTATTCTGCAGCTTTAACTGTCACGGACTCCTCTTCCTGTGTGTGGGAGGTTTGCTGGGGCGCTCTCAATTGCGCAACGGACCTGGTTAACTTGGAAAAGAGGAAAACAAGGCTGTAAAACGGCAAACACATCAGAGAAAGTAGATCCAAAGGAACGCTCAATACCTGCGCAGGTAACAGAGAGTGACACGGATTAGCGGTGAGCACGGTGCGGTCTGCCAATGGCTGGAGCTGTGAACCCCGACTCGGTGTCCACGGGGGCCCGGGCAATGTTTTTCATGATCACACCGAATGAATCATCTTTCCAGAAAGTGGAGGATGTGCCTCAATATGTACAACAGGTCGGTACAGGCTCACTTTCATAGGCTATGTGATGATTTGTTTTTGTGTAAAATAGTTTCCTTTCTCTGAGGCACCTCAGGTGACATTTTGCCTATTGTCGTTCAGAGATTGAAGAAGTACTTTAAGCCTTTGGCCTATACTAAAAGTCGTAAAACCAGTTAATAATAGCACTAGTGCTGCATTGAACAGTGTATTTAAAAAAGTGCTTAAGTAAGCCTATCAATAGAGCTGCAGAGATACACGATTAATTAGAGTTAGAAGACTTACTTTTGTAGCCCACAAACAACAGGCACAGTGACTACATATTTAAAATAATGTTCAGATATCTTTTGTATATAAAATGTAAACATTAGTTAAAAAAATAATCTGTACATTAATGGAAAATGTGTTAGTTACAACGTTAGTATCTAAAATAACTCAATAAAAAAGACTTAATAGTCAATCATCTGGAAGAAAAGTTTTGATGCATTTTTGTACATTTAAAAAAAATGTGGTGATCATTTCAGCTGTTACAGCTTTTGGCATGGATTTTTGCAAGAAGTCTTCTTTTGAGTCAAATGTTTGAAATCCATTGTCGTTTACTCTTACATGTTTTGTATACTCTCGTGATGCATTTTGTGTTGTGGAAATATTTTCCAAGGCCCATAACTTTGACCCAGTGTATCAGTTAAAACTGTCCTGACTGAGCACAGGCACCTGTAACCTTGGCTGCTGTGCTCTCAGTGTTTTGTCTCCCTGTTCCTGCCTGTTGGCGTCAGCTGATAGAGGTGTTATCATTCTATCTTGTTATGCAGCATGTTGATGATGCTCTCTGAACTAGCTAAATACATGGGTCTGGGGTAGAGTTCTTCAGAATTGACGTGGCAACTCTACCGTGAAGTCAGAACCTCTGACTCTTGGACTTGTGATGTGAATCCTCCGGCCGTTAACTCCAAATAAACCATCATGTGTTTGACATCAAAGCTACTGCTCTTCCCGTGTCTCCTTCCTGAGTCGGTGACTCCCACTGCATAGCTACACAGAAGTTTCCTCTACATTTTGCACCCTCTGGACCCCTTCGTGGCAAAAATGTACACGCTCATAAAAACTGCTATTAAATCATACATCAATATTTTTTAAAACTTTTTTTTCGATGAATCACTTGAACAACTTCTAACGTGCTCAAAACTACCAAACATTCAATAATTTTCAGGATTTTAACCCTTTAAATGCCTGTTTCATTATTTGAATTATTTAATTTCTCTTAAAAGAAAACACAACAAATGATATTTTTTCAATATAATAATTAGTAGAGGGATGGAACTTTGGTGGTTGTTAGAGTCTTGGATGTGTCAAAGATTAGCAACAAAATTGATTTCACTGCATGATTATTTTTTACGTAGTATCAGATACTACCTCTGGACACCTTCGTGGCAAAAATGTACACGCCCATAATACCTGCAATTAAATCATCATACATCAATATCTTTCTCTACTTTTTTTTTCTTTGTATCACATAAACAACTTCTAACGTACTCAAAACTACCAAACATTCAATCATTGTCAAGAATTTAAGCTTTTAAATGCCTGTATAATTATTTTAATTATTTAATTTCTCTCAAAAATGCCTCATTGACTTCCATTCAAACCACATTTTTTGATCTCACTCATCTCTCATTGCAGTATAAAACCATGCATTCTGTAATGTCAGCATTTCGTTTAGAAGACAAGTAGTGATATTTGATATTTCTACTCTATTCCAACAGATTACACCATTTTCCCACTGTAGGCCGATGCATGAAATTCTTACATTTTTGCCAGTTATATTATGGAGCCGTGTGACTACCAGGGGGCCCCGAGAGTGGTGTGTGTGTGTGTGTGTGTGTGTGTGTGTGTGTGTGTGTGTGTGTGTGTGTGTGTGTGTGTGTGGAGAGGACACTGAGGGTCCGGCCCACCATGCACCACCACGGGGGGCTTTCTTCTCACAATCTGTGAGGACACCCTGGTTTTCCCCAGCTCCTGGGAGAACGACCTCTGTTCTTCTCTGTCCCCTCACTGTGGATGGCATTCAGTGTCCTCTCCACTTTCAGAGGAAGGGTCAGAGGAACTCAAAGAAATGCTGGACTCCAGAGAGCATTCAGTGTCAGACCCCCCTCGAACCTTGTGTCTTCTTCAGATGAGTCCTGCAGCTCGCTGGCAGAAGAAGGCTGCAAGATTATTTCTGAAGTCTCTTCTGCACTGAAATGCTTCTTCATTTGAGTTCCTTCTCTTTTCTCCAGGTCTTTCTCCTTCTCTGCTCACTAAAGAAATAAGCCCTTGGTCAAACTGCATGTTTATCTTTGGCAGCCAGGTGCATAAATACACAAACAACTGTTTTTTGTTTTTGAGTAATCAAGCAGCTCTTCAAAGACACATCAAACACATCCCTCAAAAGATGGCCTTTTTTCCCATGGAATGATCTGTGCATGCCTACAGATTCTCAGATTCTCACACACACACACACACACACACACACACACACACACACACACACACACACACACACACACACACACACACACACACACACACACACACACACACACACACACACACACACACACACACACACACACACGAATACTTTATTTGGTTCCACAAATTATATTACATAAGACAGGGAATCAAATATATCGGGGCTAAGCAGCAGCACAGAACACTTAGGGGAACACATAGCATCTCCCTCTCCACACGGCTAAGCAGCCAATAATAGATGAAACAGAGCAATATTTGGCAATTTGTTTGGCTTTTCTCTTTGACATTCCAGAAATTCTCAGACCAATCATGGTGGATTTATATACATGGCCAAGACTTCCGAATATAAGTATGCTATATCTACACTTGTACCCAAAGCTGGTTATCACATCGAGCAGTGGTTGGTATTTAATATACTTGTCCTGGAAAGCCTGGTCCATGTACAGGTCAAAGGCACAGCCTACTTCTAATATTAGCACCTCCCTGTGGTTGGTGTCAACAAAAACAACATCAGGTGTATTTGGGATGTTAGCAAATACATCATTGGTAAAACCAAACCATTCTGGTAGCACTCTAGTGTGCTTGTACATTGCTGCGCTAGATGGTAAGATGTTTCGTACCGCATCAGACACAATGTCCACAATCCGGTCATGACGGGCTATGTACAGGCGTTTGTATGCATTACATCCATTTGTTATGTGTGCAATGGATTCTAGGTGTTGTTGTGAATCCTGATGGTTTAAACAGAATGGAGTGTGAATGTGAGGGTACCAGGTGGACAGATTGTACTTAGTGGATAATACCGGCAGTCTTGCTTTGATGGTAAATGTCAGAACATCCTCACCAACAGCGGCGTTCTTAAACACTGAGTGTGAGACTGAGTGGTCAGCAAACCCCGAACAGGCTAGCTTTCCCTGTAGTCTGAGTCCACACCAGTGCTGCCTGATCTCAGACTGCTTCGTGCTGAGCAGAACCCTCCTTGCAGAGTCTCTGTGCAGTTCCACAGTCTCTTCCTGAGGTGTTGTGATGTCGGCCTTCACAACCACACTGGGGTCAGTGATCAGTTGATCAGAGATGGGGACTTCAGTCTGTGTGTTGAGTCTTGTCCATTTCAGCTGGACTCCAGTCCGATTGCAGAGGTCATTGAGATCTGGCCAGTCAGACCAGACCCGAAGCCCTTGGCCTGAGAGTCCAGTTTTCCAGATTCTTTCCTTCTGAAGCCAAGTGTTAGGATCTGTCTGTGTTGGTGTTTTTCTTGTCTTTTTCTATCTTTGGGTTTCCTGTTTTATTTTGTAAAGTGTTCACCCCCGTTTCCTGCCTGTCTGCTTTCTGTCTGTTTCCCTCCCCGATTACCCGATTGTGGTCACCTGGTACCTCTGTGTTTTCTCCTCCCTCCTCACCTGTCTCGTGTTTATGTGATTAGTCCTGGGTGTATTTAAGTTCTGGGTTTTCTGTCTCTCTTTGTCGGGTTGTCTTTTGTCATGACTAGTTCGTCGGTGAGTGTTCTGTTCTGTCTGTTATCACCTAGCCTTGAAATAAAGGAACTTTCACTTTGTTCTGCATTTGGGTCCTACCTGCTTCACACACCGTGACAGTACAACCCGACCAAACAAATGGACCCAGCAGATGATCCATGGGAGGTAGAATTACAGCATTTTACCTTCTATCTGGCTTGCTGCTTCGATTGGTGGAAGGAAGCGTCCAGTGTTCGGCAGAAGAGGGCCGCTCTGGTAGAGGCGCACCGGTTGGCAGCAGAGAAACTATGTTTTGTTGAGTTCTTACCCGACTGGATTTTGGACTTCCTTGAAACATGTGATTCCCGGCCTGCTAGCCCCAGGCATGCTAACTCCATTTCTCCCAATTCCCAACCTGGCACCATACGCCTTGGTGGGTTCCGCCTGAAGTCAACCCGTGCTTCTGCCCCAGTTCCTGCTCCTGTCCAGGAGTCGTATTCCGGAACTCGTCAGGCTTATGGAGGTCCACAGAGTATTCAGGAGGCTGCTAAGAGGAGTCGTCGCAGGGCCAGGCTGGCAGCCCGAGCCCCAGCGGCCGTTGTTCCGGCTCCAATGCAGGCCCCAACAGCCTTGGTTCCGGCTCCAGTGCCGGCCCCAGCAGCCATGTTTCCGGCTCCAAAACCAGCCCACACAGCCATGATCCAGGCTCCAGTACAGGCCCCAACAGCCATGGTCCCTGCACCAGAGCTGGCCCATACAGCCATGGTTCCGGCCCCAGTTCCAGCCATGGTTCCGGCTCAAGTACCAGCTCCAGCAGTCATGGTCCCGACTCCAGCACCTCGTCTCCTGCTGGCTCCCCAGCCGACGCCAGCTCCCCGAGTCTTGTCGGCGTACCGGCCGACTCCAGCACCTCGTCTCCTGCTGGCTCCCCAGCCGACGCCAGCTCCCCATGTCCTGTCGGCGTACCGACCGACACAAGTTCCCTCTCAAGTCCCCTCTCAAGTCCCTACCCAAGTCCCCTCTCCAGTTCCTACCCGAGTCCCCTCTCCAGT